ACAACTCAAAAAAAAAAAAAAAAAATTTAAGGACGTGTGTTATATTTGCCACGGTTGTTAAACATACAGATAGCATTATCAGGTAGTCAGTTTTATATACAAATCTTGAATTCCAGGGACAAGGCTAGAGATACAAATATACAAGTAATATTTAAAATCACAGGACAAAGTGAAATTATTCAAGCAGAGTGTACTTGTGTAAACATCTGAATCCTGGAGACATTGGCAGATGAGACCGAGGTGGGACCTCAATGGTAGAAGAAGAACCAGAAGTACGTGGCTTTTTGCAAGTTATAAATATCAAGGATGCTGGGAGGGAAGGAGTGAATAATTTACCAGGAAGCATGATGAATAGCAGTATGACAGTTGGGTTCAGCAAGCTGGAGATCACTGGTGCATGTATAAGCGTCATTTCGGGGGTAGTGGGTTAGGAACCTGGTCAGAATGTCCTGGGGAGAAAATGCAGTTGCTGTTTCTAATGCCTCCTTGTCAACAACTCAATCCAGAAGTTTTATATTTTGGAAAATAGTAAACTGGGACAATAACTGGAGGTGGCAATGGGTCAAGAAAAGTATTTCCAAGGACTGAATGATAATGGATTTTCACCCAAGAGAGGGAGACGGAGATGGTAGTAGGAGAGGGCAGGGATACTTACCCAAGGCAAACCTGTGCCAGGGTGAGAGGGGATAGGACCCAGAGCCCACAGAAGAGTTGCCTGGGTGGGCAGAGGGACCCTTCATTACCATGTCTAGAAGGAAGACAAGGGAAAATCGGGAGATTAGTGGATTTGGTGATAGGTGGGTTCACAGATGATAGTTTTCTTTTTTTTTTTTTTTTGAGTTGGAGTCTCACTCTGTCGCCCAGACTGGAGTGCAGTGGCTGCTCCCGGCCACCACAGCCTCGACCTGCTGGGCTCCGGCGATCCTTCCGCCTCAGCCTTCCGAGTAGCCGGAATTACAGGCATGCGCTACCACGCCCAGCTGATTTTTTGATTTATTGTGGAGATGAGGTCTTGCTGCCCAGGCAGGTCTCGAACCCGCGGGCTCAGGCAATCCACTCACCTCAGTCTCCCAAAGGCGCGGGGTTATAGGCTGAGCCACCGAGCCCAGCTCAGATGATAGTTTTCTTAGTGAAGCGAGGAGGTGCAGTCATCAGCTATGAGAAGGTGAGAGGGAGAGTGTAAGAGGCTTGAGGAAGGAAGCACAATGTGAGGTGGTCTTCCGAGTGTCACATACAGCCTGCCTCATTGATGCGTGTTTGAAATCTGTAGCCAGGAACCTAAAGGAACAATCAATAGTACTATGTCTTCTAGCAAAGTTCAGATCAAAAGAATTTAGGAAGCTAGGTTTTATTGAGTACACTGAAGGGCAGGAGAGAATTAAGGATTCTTACAAGGAATGTTAGCAGTGAACTGTGGACAGGAATTGAGAGTTTTGACATACAGGAAAGTGGCAGGGCCACTAATTTGTGGCATCCGTGTGATAGACGTGCTAGTTGGGAACTGTATTGGACAGAGGTCATGCTGGTTAGGGGTAAGCTCTAGTAACTAAGATTGAATAAACAATCTTATCATACCACAGCTTACCCATAGTGAATTAGAAACTGTCTCATCACATTTTGGATACACTGTGTAGTTAGAATCTAAGCTTATGTAATTTATATTTATGTTAAAAACCACTTCCTCTTTTACATTTTTCCTAGTTGTACCTTATATTATTTCTCGGAATTTGTAGTATAAATGCCCCTTTGCCACATTATACCTTTCTGGCATGACTGTTTAGGAAGCATTTTCATCTTCTTCCTTCCTGAGGAAACTGTCTCTCTTATCTGTATGTTTTTTGTACCCTAGCACAGTGACACCAAAATAGATAAACGGTGAATAGGTTAATATTAGACTTCAGTAAGAAGAATCACATTAAACTAATTATTCCCTCTCTGATCCCTGTACTCTCCTTTAAGTTTCAAGGTAGTTTTGGGGGAAAGTAGTAAACATAATGATACATGGATTCAGTAAATAAGAAAAATGCTGCTCAGAGATTTAATAGCCCACAAAATGCAGAGTCTACAGCATTTCATTTCTTCCAGCCAGGCCTCATGCATTCAGGCCAGGAGATCTTTGTGCTGCTCTTGCACACTGCCCTCCTCCCTGCTCAGGGCTCCTTTGGGCAACTCTTGTAACAGCACAATCTGACTGATACTCACTGGATGCAGAACTGAATGAGGTGAAAAGAGCCTGAGGCCTGGCTCATCTCTTACCTTAAGCTGCAGAGAGTGATGTGTGCCTCAGCGCCCTGGCACACGCGGTTGAGTCATCCTTCCTGAGTGCACTCAAATTCCTCCAGGTGTCATCTTGTTACTCATTTACTGATCACCAGGCACTGTGAGCCTATGTGATGGGATATGGTGTTAACCAAAAAACTACCCATAACATCAAGGAGTTTCTGATCCAATTGGAAAAAAATGAGTATAAATGTGATCATGATGGAAGAAGTATACCATGTGGTCAGAATATATGAGAGGGGCATTTGGCTCAGAACTGAGAAATCAGGGAAGGCTTCCTGCAGAAGTGGCTGTGACGATGAACTTGTGTTGTCTGAGTGCCATGGTGAGGACTGTAACTCAGGCAGAGGAACAACAGATGTGAAGGTGAAGAGGTGAGGGGCTGCTGGGAGTATTCAGGGGACCCTATACATGCTGTGTAGCTAGAACATGGGGCCGGGTGATGAAAGGGTCTCTGTGCCCTCTGAGTGAATTTGGACTAGGTAATTCTTGGGGTAATGAGTCTATCAGAGGGCTGGGGTAAGGTCTGCAGTGTCATGAGAGAAACATGCAGTTTGCCACAGAAACATCCATTTGAACCCCCTTCATACTTGCATTTGAGCAAATTGTACCGTGCACCAGAGAAAAACTTGCCAGAGATACAGGTTATTACACTATGAATCCATAATTAATTTTAACAGTCTAGCAAACTAAATGAGAAGATATTCACAATTTATGAGCCAATCCACTCGCCTGTATACTGGTGTGGCATATGCTTAGATCTGTGTGTATGTAAGGAACTTGTTATTGATTTGTTCATTAATTCATTAATTTGTTCAAAAAAAGAGGATGCTGACAGTCTTGCTAAGGTCACTTTATTCTAGCAACATAAAACCACTTGACCAGGCAACAAATGTGTTCCTAAAACCCGTTTCGGAATATCTTCCCTAGTGGCTTCTGTGAATTTAGGTTGAAGGACTTTAATGGCACATTAAAGAAGGGAGTAAAAATCTGAGTGCAGAAGAGTGAGGGCTGCTCTCAACAACAGTGCCATTCTCTGCTCAAGAGTACCCTGACCGCAGGGTACTTTTTGAAAACTGGCAGTTATTCCTCTGGTAGTCACTGTCAGACTTCTCCCTTCATGGGAAAGAGTAGGTTTTGTTCTCTCCTGTGGATTTTGTTTTTTATTTTTATTTTTTCAAATATTTTAAAATAAAATGCATATATTTAAGATGCCCAACATGATATATACAGACATACACACACATACACACACACACACACACACACAGGGTGCCAAAAAAATGTATACACATTTTAAGAGATGTTATCTATATATTACTTTTAGTTTGCTATAATCAGAAGTGACACTGATAATAACCACTTTGAGAACCTCTTGCAATTGCAGAAGTCAAATATAACTTGTATTCATCTTTTGTTATTGGTATATATTGAGTATTACAATTTTGATACAGTTTTTTTTTTTCTTTCTTGAAACGTGTAAGGCCTGGTGTGATGCCTGTAATCCCAGCAGTTTAGGAGGCCAAGGAGAGAGGATTGCCTAAGCCCCAGGGGTTCAAGACCAGCCTGGGCAATTTGGCGAGACCTCGTCTTTACAATAAATTTTCAAAAGTATTAGCTGGGCATGGTAGCTCATGCCTATAGTTCTAGCTACTTGGAAGACTGAGGCAGAAGGATCACCTGAGCCCAGAAAGTTGAGGCTGTGGTGGCTGCGAGCATGCCACTGCACTCCAACCTAGGCGACAGAGTGAGACACTAACTCAAAAAAAAAAGTATACATTTTTTTTTTTGGCACCGTGTGTGTGTGTGTGTGTGTGTGCAAATTAACATGCCTGTCTTCTCACATAGTTTCCTTTTATCTCCCTTTGTGGTGAGAGCACCTGCAATCTACCCTTAGCAGATTTCCAGTACATAATATAGTGTTGTTAACTATTGTCATCATGTTGTACATCACTGCAAATCTTTTGGTTAACTACCCTAGGAATAATTGTTAAGTAACTAGAAGCATTGTAACATCATCCTACAAAATTCTGGCCAGGTGCGGTGGTGTGCACTTGTAATTCCAGGTACTCAATAGGCTGAGGCAGGAAGATTGCTTGAGCCCAGAAATTCAAGGCTGCCGTGAGCTGTGATCATGTCTGTGAATAGCCATAGTACTCTCACCTGAGAAACAGAGCAAGGCTCCATCTCAAAAACAATTCTAGTCGCTGCAAATTTGCTTAACTACATTTTAGACCATATTTTCCCCATAGTTTAGAATCTTAAAACTCACATAATCTGTATAACTCTGAAGTTACACCGGAAAATGACTGATTGATAGTACCTAATGTTACTTGGTGGTAGTGTAAATGCATCCTGTGATTCTACGGACCAAGACCTACATGCTTAGTTGCTAGAAATTAAGAGTCTGAGCTGAATGAGAGAGACCAGGTTCAGAGCCCAGTTCTTCATTTACCAGCTCCATGACCCCAGGTTAAGCCTCAGTGTTCTGATTTAGAAACTGGGGACTACTTCTCAGCTTTTTGGCTAGGATCAAGTGTAGAATTTGGAGATGCTAATGGTAACTGTTTTATAAATTCACTGTGACAATTAAATGAGATTGTGGGTATTGAGGGGCCTACTGTATTGTTTCAACCTTAGTTAGCTTTCTTGAGCATTTCTGCCTTTACCCTTTAATTCTGTTTGTTTTATTTTCAGCAACTTTCTTTTTTCTCCTCTAGGGATATGAAGCCTGACAACATTTTACTTGATGAACATGGTAAGTCCGTGATTTGTTTGCAGTCACTACATGGCATGCGTGTAGAATGCATGGGTGAGGCCCAGCAGAGGAGGTTCACATTTGGAAAACATGTCATGCTCAATTCAGTTGACCTCTGTGTAAAAACTCCACTCAGCGGCCAGGAGAGACAGTGTGGGAGACGTGATGATTTACAGCAGTGGCCTAGGGTAGTTCACCCTTCAATAACAACACCCTTACCTAATGAGAAAGCCATCTCTACTCAGTTTTATTCTACTACTTCATTTCTTCAAGAAAACATCACGGTTGTTTGACACTAGTTTGCGTTAATATCTTATAACACATAAGCACCTACTTTTTTTCATAAAGACAGAGAGCTTTGGACCAACAATAGCATCCACCTAGAATTTAGTGACATTATTATGTTTTCACTGCATCTACTTTTTGTGCTTTCCTTCTTATAAAAGGCAAATTGGTTTTACATATGCAGGAGAGATAACAAGTTTTCTGTTCAAAATTTTTTTCAGTTAAAAAAAATCAGTTCAAGCCGGGCTCGGTGGCTCAGCCTGTAATCCCACGCCTTTGGGAGGCTGAGGTGAGTGGATTGCCTGAGCCCGCGGGTTTGAGACCCACCCGGGCAGCAAGACCTCATCTCTACAATAAATCAAAAAATCAGCCAGGCGTGGTAGCGCATGCCTGTAATTCCGGCTACTCGGAAGGCTGAGGCGGAAGGATCGCTGGAGCCCAGCAGGTCGAGGCTGCAGTGGCCAGGAGTGGCCACTGCACTCCAGTCTGGGCAACAGAGTGAGACTCCAACTCAAAAAAAAAAAAAAATCAGTTCAGCTGGGCATGATGACTTACACCTGTAATTCCACCACTTTGGGAGGCTGAGGCAGGAGGAGGGTTGCTTGAGTCTAGGGGTTTGAGATCAGCCTGGGCGACATAGTGGAACCTTGTCTCTACAAAAACATTTTTAAAAATTAGCCAGGCATGGTGGTGCGCACATGTAATCCTCTCAACTACTCAGGAAGCTGAGATGGAGGATCAACAGAGCCTAGAAGGTCGAGGCTGCAGTGAGCCATGATTGTGCCATTGTACTCCAGCCTGGGTGACAAAGTGAGACTGCAACTCAAAAAAAAAAAAAAAGCAGCCAGCTTAAAGAAAAATATAAAGTTGCTAAAACCATATGTAGTACCCAGATAAGAAAGTGATTTAGGGATGTGACGATAATCATAAGTAAACAACTGGTACTCTGGAACGAGCTTCTGCCCGTCATGATTAAATGTGTCTAATGTCTTCCTACTATTAATTTTCATGTACATTTTGGCTTATTGGTACACTAGGGCAGACCTGTAGGGCACATAGCCCATGTGTCATTAATGTTAACAGTGGTTGTAAGATTTTTGTTATGTATTTAGAAAGCTGTCAGATGAGAGAGTCCTAAATCATTAGTTTTTATTCACTCAATTTTTACAAAAAGGATTTGCAAGTGGAACTGAAATTCCAAGCACTATCTACTACTCATTATTTATTTACCTTGTTGAATTTTGAGTCTGACTTGCCTGATCCCACCTGTGCTCCGAGGGCTGAAAAACACTTTTGTTTGTGACCTCTAATTTCAAAGCGCAGGGTCTTTACTTATTTATGGACTGTCCAAAAAGATTTTTTCCACTTTCTTCCAATGCCTTATTTCCTCCTTACCTTTACTGCTGCTGACATCTGATGACAGATTCTCTGGCTCTCAGAAATGTAATGGTGAGACTTAGCATGAAGGTGACTTTCATTAAAACACCAGCTATTCAGAGCCGGATGCAACAGTGCATGCCTGTATTCCCAGCTACTTGGGAAGCTGAGGAAGGAGAATCATTTGAGCCCAGGAATTCAAGGATAGCTTGGGCAACATAGCAAGACCTCATCTCTTGAAAAACAAACAATAAACAAAACACCAGTGACTCTTCTAGCCTCTAGAGGTCACCTTTGTGCAACTAGGGGAAAATGTTTGCTCCACTCACCACAGCCTGTTGACAACACATGGCTGGTCAAACAGAACCCAGGCTGGAGTTCAGTCCTCACTGGCCTCTCAGCCAGGTACCTTTATGCATGGTACCCATTGCTCCGTCATTGTAGAGGCCCTGAGGAGGCATGTAGGTCCCATCATCCCAGAACTTTTCAAGAATTGCCTTCCATTCAGAGAGCACTATTTCAGTTTCGGATCTCAGTCCTGGCGTCATCCTCTTTCTACCATGAAATCACCCTTTTCCCCTTCATGTGACTCCTTCCTCCTCCTAATTTTCTTTTCTTTTTTTTTTTGAGTTGGAGTCTCACTCGGTCGCCCAGACTGGAGTGCAGTGGCCGCTCCCGGCCACCGCAGCCTCGACCTGCTGGGCTCCGGTAATCCCTCCGCCTCAGACTTCCAAGTAGCTGGAACTACAGGTGCGTACTACCAGGCCCAGCTAATTTTTTGATTTATTGTAGAGACGAGCTCTCGCCAAGTTGCCCAGGTGGGTCTCGAACCTTCAGGCTCAGGCAATCCACTCACCTAGTCCTAACCCAGCTCATTCACTCTCTAGCTCTGTTTCCACAAGTTGTCTAAACTTTCTCTGTGTCTTAGAGTACTAGCTTCTTAGGGTCATGGTAAGACTAACTGCCCTAATACTTGGAAAGGGCTTGATACAATGTCTGCCACAAAGAAATCATTCAATGAAGTTCAAATACTTGTGGCTTTTTTCCCTAAGCCTTGGGAAGAAAGCATGGACCATTCCATCCTTTTTTCTGTGACTTTATCTATACCAACACTTATCCAAATATTTATCAGATCGAGTCCAAAAGAGCTGAGTACTTCCCTGTCTTTTCCAAATAATTATTTTGATTCCAGAGGTGATATGCCAAAGAATCTGCTTGTCTACTTGTTAGAAATCCTCAGTCCTCAAATAACTACATGTTCAATGGCCCATTTTGCTTTTCTTAATGTGTGCATTTTATTCTGGGTGAGCTGTTGCTTGGGGGTTAGGAGCAGTCATTCCAGTCTGCCTGGGAGTCAGTCTCAGTTGACACCTGTTATCTGGTATATTACTCACAGTAACCCCTATCATTCTCAAGCATTTTGGTTTGGTCAATGAATTAAGAAAAGGCTTTTCTTTTTTATTTTTCTTTTCTCTCTCTTTTTAAATTCAGGGTCTTACTCGTCGCCCATTGCATGAGTACAGTGGCACAATGACAGCTCATTGCTGCTTCGACCTTCTGGGCTCAGGCATTCCTTCTGCCTCAGCCTCCTGAGAAACTGGCACCACTGAGTAGCTGCATGTCATCACGCCTGGCTTATTTATTTTTATTTTTATTTTTTGTAGAGACGAGATCTTGCTATGTTGCCTAGGCTGGAAGAGGAGGCTTTTCTGTACTGTATTCCCATCCTGAACTCAACTTGAAAAATCACTGCAGTTAGTAAGGAAACATTTGGTTTGGGAAGGATTGGTATGATGGTATAGAAGCAGACAAATGAAAAAGAGTGAGAGCTGTTCTCTAAACATTGTGCTAGGAATCCATTTGTGGAGAAAATACGTTTTTTGAAGTTATTTGCTTCCTGTTTATTCAGATTCTGAAAAACTAGGACTTTCAGACCTTGCTCAGGGACCATGACCACCCACATTTAGGTGGATCAATTCCTGCTGCCTCCCCAGCTCATTATATAACATTGCCCTTATGAGAAGTGCATGCTGGGAGAGTTTACATGTGGAGTTCCTGTTGGAAGGCCTCGCTGGTCTTCTCCATCTCCACGTGTGACATTTCACCGCACACAGGCCTCTTCCTGGGATGTTGCCAGAATGGATGCCTATCACTCCACATGAGCTACGTGTTACCCAACATGGCTTACATTCTGATTCAGCACCTTTCAATAATAGGTGGAAGCTTTGTTTTATTCTTATTCATTCATGTTCTTTTCTTTTCTTCCACTGATCTGGATTAAATACCCGTTCTTCACCCTCGCTCAACACCTGCATGAGCCCTCTGACATTAAGCAGGACAATGGTATTTGTCTGAGGCAAACCACATACCAGCTCATGGGCCAAGCATTTGACAGGCATCATCCCATTTAACCCTCAATAATGCCATGAGGCAGGCATCTGAGGCTCAAAACCTAACTCCTACGTGAAACTGGATTCTGCCTAGTGGCTGATCTGGGATCCAAATCTAGGTAGTCTGACTCCAGACCACTATGAAGAATATGATCGATTCATATTTTTCATGAATATGATTGATTCGTATTCTTTATATTTATCAGAAAATATTGACATTTAAAGGAACTGATTGTAAAATGGAAAATCTTTCCACACTGTGAATGAATATTTCTTGGATATCAGAATTTGACTTTAAAAATGTTCTAGTTAAGCATAGATGTTCAGCTTAACATACTTATTACTGTCTCCCCCAGATATCCCCTTCACGAGTTCAGAGTCAAGATGGCACTGGGTCTTGGATGGTTTATGGCCAACTGTCCTGATACATATTTTCGCGTCCTACCAGTTTAAGTGCCTATCCAATGCTGTCAGTTTCATAGTGTCTAAAATTCTTGTGTTTTTTGTAAATTATTCAGGAAGTAAATGCTGCAAGGAACAATCATGTCTGCCTGGCATATCAAAGAAAATGGCAATTATGTCATCATCTATAATTTAGATTTCTTAATATTATCTCTACTCACAAGGAACAGAGGCAAATCTCAGGCTGGAGGGTAAGGAGAAAATGAGCCTGCTGCCTTAATAGCTTCCTCCTTACGGAGTCCCAAATGTGCCTAAAAATCTAGTGAATGGTATCTTTTAAAAATAATATGCAATGCAGAATTCTGTTACCCTATCTCAGATCATAAGATCTATCAAGTTGCAGATAGTAGCTAGGGCTGTGCGTTTCTAACAGAAAAATGTGGTGCACATACTCTAAACACATGCAAGTAGGGGAGACTTACGCGTCGGGGGCAGTGCCCGCCCGTATGGTGGTGGTGCCCTCGAGGTCTGTGCTGACGACAGACCCTCAGATGAGCACCGGTGCAGTGAGGAGGGGTGTGAGTCATGACAGCAGGAAGGGCTGAATTCAGCGACTCAAGATGAATTGAGATCTTTTGTATAATCCTCTGTCTCAAGCAACAGAGGTGAGCAGAAAAGACAAAAACTTTTTCCTAAGGTGCTACATTCAGGACATTCTGAGCCCTGTACCTAGAAAACTCTACACGAAGGCAGTGGTTTTCAACTAGGGCTAATTTTGCTCTACTGTAGGGGACATTTGGAATGTCTGGAGACATTTTGATGATCAGGATTCCAGTCAGGGGTGGGAAGTGCCATGACATCTAGCACATAGAGGCTGGGGTGCTAGTAAACATCCTGCAGTGCACAGGGCACCTCCTACCTCAAAGAATTATCGGGTCCAAGATCTCACTGTTGCTGAGGTTGAGGAACTCTCCTCTAAGGCCTGGGTTTACGGGAGAAGCTGGGAAAGTCCCTCATTCCCAAGGCAGTTCCTGTGTTCTTCAGTCTTCAGGAACCTGAACTCTCTCAGCAGATAGGTCACCAGGGGAAGCAGATGCGAAGCACAGCAGCATCTGGACTAGAGTCGAGGTTTGAGACCAGCATCTGTGGTTCCGTGACATTCAACTTTCATTGCTTAACTCAAGAGCACAGGCTAGAGGGTCCAGTGGACACTGGTCCTCAAGTGATCCCTTCCTTTCTTTTCCTAGGAAAGAACTCAGAGCCAAGCAGAACTTGTAGTTGTTTCAAGTCATTCCATTCTTTGGCCTTGTGATATATAGCACCCAAGGTTCCTGGGAGATTCATAACCCACCAAAAGATCCCAGACCAAATTCTAGGTCTCAACCCCAACTCTACTACTTCTGAGCTTTGTGGACTTAGCCTCATCTATAAATGCTTCATCTATAAAACAGGTACTACCTCACGGGCTAACAGGAAACTTTGTGCAACAACATTTTGAAAACTGGATTAATCATACAAATGTAAATAATACTTACAACAGAAACATTTAACATTCTTTCAGCGGAGTTTAACAAATACCTGAGTACTTACTAGCATCAGGACATTCTGCTAAATGTCTTCTTTTAAAACTGTGATCTCAAACTTGATTGGGAGTCAGGATCATCTGAGATCCTGTGGAAACACTGGGCCCACCTCTAGAGTTTCTGATTTAGTAGGTCTGGCCCAAGAATTTGCATCTGACAAGTTCCCAGGTGATCAGAGTGCTGCTGGCCTGGGGACCCCACTTCAGGAACTCGGTGGCCCTAAGATGCCCTCTGCCTCCACTTCTACATGACCACAGATAGTCCAGGACTGAGCCAGCTCAGAAGGTTGACTCAGGTTAAAGTAGAGGGTAGCATGCCAGGTTCCTAGTTCCCAGTCTTGTGTTCCTCATAGAGTCCCTTTAAAAATAAAACTTGATTTTGTTTTCCCTTGCTCTCCCTTAATAACAATTATTTTGTTAGGGGTTCAGGGGCCAACCTGAACTATCAGACAAAAAAATACTAATGATATTTCAGGAAAACAAGGAGAAAAAGGACTTTCTTTTTTGACAGATAAATACATTTTGTATCCATACTCATGCCAGCTTTGAAGTAATCGTGTTTGCTTCTTTTATTTTTAAAAAAGATCCCATAAGAGATGCTTATAAATTTGATATTTTGAATATCTCTTGACCTCTCCCTCTTGACACAGGCTAACCCAGCTTAAAGTGTTGTCAATAGACAAAAACTGCCTAAATAGCTTTACCAGATGATAAACACTTAACGACTAAGGTTAAAACTTTTTGAGGATGGACTACAAGATTACAGTCAAGGACTGTAATCATTGCATATCGTGTTCTGGCTGCTGGAGGGTTGCTGGTTTAAGACCCTATTAGCCGTGGTGGTGGGATAACTGAGCTTTTATTGCCTGTACCCAATTGCAACTAGCATATAAGAATCAACAGACTGACCAGGCACGGTGGCTCATGCCTATAATCCCAGCACTTTGAAAGGCCGAGGTGAGAGGATTGCCCGAGCCCGTGTGTTCGAGACTAGCCTGGGCAACTTGGTGAGACTTCATCTCTACAATAAATCAAAAAATTAGCCAGGCATGGTGGCGCGTGCGTGTAGTTCCAGCTACTTGGAAGGTTGAGGCTGAAGGATCACCTGAGCCCAGTGGGTCGAGGCTGTGGTGGCTGTGAGCAGGCCACTGCACTCCAGCCTGGGCAACAGGGTGAGAACTCCAACTCAAAAAAAAAAAAAAAAACCAGAAAAACAACCAACAGACTAAACTTTCGGTTGCTTTCAGTTAGCAGCATGGCTGTGCCGCTGGGTTGAATGGGACTTAATGCTGTCTGTGGTCCTTCTCTCTCCAGGACACGTGCACATCACAGACTTCAACATTGCGGCTATGCTGCCCAGGGAGACGCAGATCACCACCATGGCTGGCACCAAGCCTTACATGGGTACGGGCTTCGTGAGCTGCGGTAGTCACAGAGCAAAGCTTTTGCTTTTCATTCCTCTGAACGCCATTTACTACAGGCTGACTCAACTGTATGGATTTGCAGCTGGAACTGACAAGCTCCTCTCGCCCTTGACCGAGGAGCTTGTGTTTCATGGGTCTGAGATGAGTCTCAGATTCTCCTCCCGCAAGCACCTGAGATGGTTTTGGGGGAGGTCCTAGGGTCTGTGATCACATTCTGAAAGCACATTTCATCAGTTAACTAGACAGTGTCTACCCATTTTCTAACAACAACAAAGTCATAAATTAGGTATCTATGAACTGTCTCTGTGTGCCTGGCACTGTTTCCGATGCTAGTGACCCCGTAGTGAGCAGCGCAGACAAGGTCTCCAGGTCATGGAGTGTGTATTCTGGTGGGAGCAGATGAAAAATAGAATCACACATAGACCTAGGAACATAAATAAGCAGGATAATCATAGTGACAGAGAATCATTTTAACATTATTTACATAATACTGCACTATATGCATAGGGCTGTCAAGTTTACAAAGTTTATCCTTTCAGCTATAATTTTAGTTTTAGTTTTATTACTACAACAATCCCAGGTGTTCTTCTTTTTAAAGATGAGAAAATTTTGCCTTAGAAAAGTTAAATGACATTGTATAATCTTGCGTATAATGAGATGAGAAACTGGGCTTTGCCCTGATGATTCAGAATTTGCTGAGAGGTGACTAAAAGATCAGGTTAGGCTCAAAATTGTCAGCTAGATCTCAAATTTAATTTGTTGTAGCAGATCAAATACAAATTCTAAGCTTGGTTGCTTGAAACAGCTATTTCTGTGTAGACACCAGGTTAGTAGAGCCTGTTCTGCCTCCTATCCACCCCCCAACATAGGAAGAGAGAGCACATGGTATTCAGGAGGAGGAAGTCGTTCCTCCCTCTCTGGTGGTTCCTGAGACAGGCAAGTCAGGTCTCAAGATTCATCTGTAAATTCCTAAGGTGACTGCAAGAAGAGAGGTGCCTGGTATTTTATTCTTAGTTAGGTGACTATCCAATCGTTGGACTTGCCGACTGTCCCAGGGCTAACACAGCTTGAATGACCATGAAAGGCCTACCAGCCTGGGAGCTAGTCTTGGATCAGAGTGACAGAAGACAGGTATGCAATGAACATGTGTTTGGGAGGCAGTAGGAATGGGTTAGCTGGAAGATGTGGTCCAGTTTCCCAGGAGCCCCTCCAGTGACTGGAAGTGAGGGAGGCTTCTGTCAGCATGGCTTCCTGGAGACGCCACCAGTCCCAGTGGTGATCAGAATCTATGTCTGACCTTTGAAGGTAGAGTCCAGCATAGGATGCTTCAAAAGCTCTTCAGGTAATTCTGCTGTGCATCTGGTATTGTCACCTTCTGCTCAGGCCACAAGCTATGTCAGCTATGAGAAGTCACCTTGCAGCAGGCCAGTGTGTGTACATAGGATCTCTCTGCTTCCACTGGCCTTCTATGTCCTAAAACATCATGCTTTTGAGGAAAAGGCACAAGGAAGTGAGTGAGAACCAGACCATTCCTCACCTCTACACCAGGGTGGCTGAACCTAGCCTGATGGAGTAGGTGAGGATCTTTGAATCAGATAGGAGATTCATTTTTAAATTTATAGGGCTGAACTGTAAAGTATCTAAAGCTGGTTGCAGTAACCAAGCGGGATTAAAATTTGTTAGGCAACAGACAGAGTTATCATTAAAGGAGCCTCCTATCCAGCAAAAACAGGAGGCTAGACTCTGCTGCTGGCAGGTGACAGGAGACTGAAAACCACTCCTGCTTTTACCCTGATTAGCTAAGACGTTTATACCTGGTGATGCCACTGTTTAAAGTGGTGGAATTAAGTCAGGGGTGGAATGAACTGTATTGGCTAGATATGGTCAGAGGAATTCATGGGTGAAATATTTAGACTTGAAGTAAAGGGCAAGAGCGATGCCATTTTCTTTTAATACTTTATTCTCTTCCCCCATCTAACTAAAGCGAGAGAGAGAGAGAGCACTGTGTGCAGAACCACCCCACTTTCCAACAGAAAGAAATGTTCTGTGGGAAAAAATGAGCCCTATTTTATATGATAGTTGAACAACTGCAAATTTCATGGCTTCCAATTATCAGTGGGGGGGATACATCTCTTTTGCCACTTCTAGAGTAAGGCACACATAGAATCCAACCTATTTTCTGCCTAAAACCTGTGGTACTCCAATGACAAAAAGGAATATCCAAGCCCGCTGCTCTGATGAGTTTAATCCCCAGGTTTCCTGGGTTTCCATATTGAAGGCTATTTTCTTGGAGCCAAAGCAGAAGATGTGCATCTGCTGTTTCCATGGTGAAGAGAGTGCAGGGAGCCACCTTCCTTCCTCGGCCCAGTGATTTTAAGTATAAAAGCTATATAATGAAATTTTTTTCAAAGTTGACATTTCTAGTCTTTTCATAAGATAGAGCTAGGAAATTGGAACCTAGGGAGACTTCCACATACCCCCCACTTCGCCATTGTAATTAACAGTGGCTGATATTTATTGAAATCTTTCTGTGGACCAGACAGTCCATTCAATATTTACATTCATGTATTTGTTTATTTTTCTTAGCAGCTCTATGAGGCAGACTATACTTATCACTATTTTATAGCAGCTCCTTAAAAAAAGAGAGAGATTTTTAAAAATGTAAACACTTTTATTTGTGGTTTTTAAATGGTTCTAAGTTAACTTAATTAGGTCAACATGTTGGAAATGTTTCTTGTCTTACTCCAAAATGATTCTGATTGCCACAGCTACCCCTTTACCCAGAAGCTGCCCTGCCTTTGATTTTTGGATGGGAGTCTTTCCAAGAGGTATTATGGGCAGAATTCTACTTTCTCTTTTTAAAAATTATGTTTCCAGCAGACATTAGGGACTCTTAAAAGAGAGGGTTGGAGGAGGGAAAGGGTTGAAAAGCTGCCTATGGGTACCATGTTCACTACTTGGGTGATGGGTTCAGTAGAAGCCATCATGCAACATGCCAATGTAACAAACCTCACCATCATGCAACATGCCGATGTAACAAACCTGCACTTGTATTCCCTGAACCTAAAATTTAAAAATTACATTCCCAATGATTTGGTCGAGTCTACCTAATCAATCAGCACCCATTTTATAGTTCTTCTGTAGGATACTAATTATCAGTTAACCAGAAAGAAAAAAAAAGTCAAGAAAGAAAGAAAAGAAGAAAGAAAGAAAGAAAAAAGGAAAGCTAACTGAACTACTGAATGAAGGTTAGAGAAATAGATATCTACTAATATAAGAAGCTGAGCATATTATAAAGCAGTTCCATAGTTCTGGAAATGAGAAGATATCTAGTCTGCCAGTTCTTCACCACTTTGCACCCAGCAAGGAAGCTTTGCTTTTTATAATTTATCTTCTACTTCCATGCTCTCTCCATCCCTCCAATAGTTTCTTCTCCCCACTCCCATGTCTGTATAGTATAATCAGATCACTAAATCAAAATGTTCTTCTCCAAATTATTTATGTATATATGTATATACATGTATATTTATGTGTGTGTATAGACAGACAGACAGATAGATACACACAAGTTCACTGTGAAAAAAGTATAAAATGCTGATAAGCAAAAGAAATTCTACAAAACATATAAGGAGGAGCTGATACTAATCTTAATGAAAGTATTCCAGGCAATCGAGAACGATGGAATTCTCCCCAAGTCACTTTATGAAGCTAACATACTGATACCCAAACCTGGTAAAGACCCAACAAGGAAAGAGAATTAATTACAGACCAATCTCCTTGGTGAACATAAATGCAAAAATTCTCAACAAGATTTTAGTAAATCGGATCCAGTAACACATCTCAAGGATCATTCAACATGACCAGGTGGGCTTCATTCCTGCGATGCAGAGCTGGGATGCATTCGCAAGATCATAAACATAATTCAGTACCTTAACAGATGTAAAACCAAGAACCACATTAGATGCAGAAAAAGTATTCAACAAAATCCAGTATCCTTTCTTGACAAAAACCCTTGAGCACCTAGACATAGAAGAAACATTCCTCAAAACTGTAAGAGTCATCTATGATAATCCCACAGCCAACATTTTGCTTAATGGGCAGAAATTGGAAGCATTTCCCTTAAGAATGGAAACAAGACAAGGAAACTCACTTTCATCCCTCCCATTCAACATAGTGCTGATTGCCAGAGCAATCAGGCAAGAGAAGGAAATCAGGGGTACCCAAACAGGAAAAGAGAACGTTATGCTATCCCTCTTTGTGGATGATTTGATTCTATGTCTTGAAAACCCAAGCAAGTCCACCGAAAACCTCCTCACACTGATAAACTACTTTGGTGAAGTTTCAGGATTCAAAATCGATGTGCAAAAAATGGTTGCATTTCTATACACCAGAAGCAAGCAGGCAAAGGACCAAGTAAAAAGCACATTCATGATAGCCACACACAAAATAAAATACCTTGGCATCCATCCAACCAGAGAAGTGAAAGGTCTTTACAATGAGAACTACAAAACACTGCTCAAAGAAATCAAGGATGATACAAACAAATGGAAAACCTTTATTGCTCATGGACTGAAAGAATCAATATTGCCAAGATGTCCATCCTACCTAAGGCAACCTACAGATTCAATCCAATATTCATCCAATTACCAACATCCTTCTTCTCAGACCAGGAAACAACAATACAGAAGTTCATATGGAAACAAAAAAGAGCACAAATAGCCAAAACAATCCTCAGCAAAAGGAACAAAGTGGGAGATATCACCCTCCCAGACTTTAAACTTTAAAGCTACAGTAACCAAGATGACATGGTATTGGTACAGAAATAGGGACATAGACCAATGGAATAGGACAGATATTCAGGAAGTTAAAACATGGTCTCCCAACCAACTTATCTTCAACAAAGTCACCAATAACAATCCTGGGGAAAGGAGACCATATTTAGCAAATGGTGCTGGGAAAACTGACTAAGCACATGCAGAAGAAGGAAACTGAACCCCTACCTATCACCATATAAAAAAATCAACTCAAAACCAATCAAGGACCTCAATGTTAAACCCCAAACTTTAAAAATCCTAGAAGAAAACAGGAACCACCATTCTGATATCAGAGCAGGAAATGAATTCATGACCAAGACCCCAAAAGCAAATGCTACAAAAGCTAAGATAGGTTGGACCTCATCAAACTGAAAAGTTTCTATACAGCAAAAGAAATCAAGAGAGGCTGGGTGCAGTGGCTCAGCCTGTAATCCCAGCACTTTGGGAGGCCAAGGCAAGAGGATTGACTGAACCCATGGGTTCAAGACCAACCTGGGCAACTTGGTGAGACCTCATCTTTACAATAAATCACCAAAAAACTAGCCAGATGTGGTGGTGTGCAGCTGTAGTTCCAGCTATTTGGAAGGCTGAGGCAGAAGAATCACCAAAGTCCAGCAGGTGGAGGCTGCGGTGGCTGCAAGCGTGCCACTGCACTCCAGTCTGGGCGACAAGAGTGAGACTCCAACTCACAAAAAAAAGAAAAAGAAAAAGAAAGAAATCAAGAGAGTAAAAAGAAAGCCCACAGAATGGGAAAACATATTTTCAAATTATGCATCTGACAAAGGCCTAACTTCCAGAACCTACAAGAAGCTCAAACAAAGTGGAAAAAAAATCAAACAACTTCACTAAAAAGTGGATGAAGGATATGAACAGACACTTCTCAAAAGAAGACATAAAAGCAGCCAACAGACACATGAGAATTTGCTCAGCCTCACTGATCATTAGAAATGCCAATCAATAAGATACCACCAAACTCCAGTAAGGATGGCTATTGCTAATAAGTCAAAAACCAACAGATGCTGAAGTGTGTGAAATGAAAAGGGAATACTTCTACACTTTTGGTAGGCATACAAGCTCTATGGAGAGCAGTGTGGTGATTCCTAAAAGAATGAAAAATTGACCATCTATATGATCCAGCAATCCCTCTCCTGGGAATATACCCAGAGGAACATAAATTGTTCTACCAAAAAGATCCTTGCACACTCATGTTTATTGCTGCACTATTCACAATAGCAATAACATGGAACCAACACTACTGCCCATTGAAAGTGAACTGGATAAAGAAAATGTGGTACATATACATGACGGAGTATTACACAGCCATAAAGAACAAAATCATCATGGACTCTGCAGCTAATTGGATGGTGTTGGAGACCATCATATAATGACCTATCGTGGCAACAAAGAACTGAATACCACATGTTCTCACTCATAAGTGGGCCCTGAACAATAGACACATGAGCATAAGGGAGGGATTGGCAGTCATTGGGCACTGCTAGGGATGGGAGGGAGGGAGGAGAGTGAAGGACACATGGCAACAACAAAGGGTACTGGTCGCTACCAGGGGAGTGAGGGCCAGTTGGAAGCCCAGACTTCACCTGCATGCAGTCTACTTATGTAGTTAATCCTCGCTTGTACCCCACATCTCTATAATAAAATAAATTTTTTAAAAAAAGAATGCAAGGAATAGGATTTAATTTATTAGGGCATAATAGAATGAAGGGATGGGATTTAATAGAGTATAAGAAAGTGTGTTTTTTTTTCTTTGTTAGTGTTCCCTTTAATATAAAACACTGAAATAAGCTAAATAAATAGGTGACCATTTGGACAGTTCTTCAGCCAATTTATACACGGTCCCTGGAAGCTATGCCTAAAATAGACAAAGCTAAACTATTTGTTTAAAAATACATACAGAGAGACTGAACACATATAGAAAAACAAGAAACGATTTAGGACAGTGAATTGTAGAGCTATGCACAGGAGAGGACACAGTGAAGTGGGCAAGATTCTATTCCTTGACCTGGATAACAGTCACATAGGCATTCACTTCTAGCTATGAAGTTTTTAAAAATTCTTTATTCTGTGAATTGTGGATAGAAATACTTCAAACATAATACCAAATGAAATAGTGGCCTTTTGAAGGGCACATGGTTCCTCCCAACTCTGTCAGTCCCTCTCTGGGGCAAGGATCTCCTTGAAGGCCTGGGGCAAACACTTCAGTACCTTCCTGCTCAGTTTTCTAGCTATTTGAGGACTCAAAGAATTGCCCATCTGGTATTTTGTTGTGATATTTCTTCTTACCGTTTTATCAAATCTCCTCAGTGCCCAGCACACAGTATTTGTTGAATGAAGGAGTGCATATCTGTGTGTCTCCATACCTAAAAAGGGAGCAAGTTGAAGAAGAGAAAAAGGAACATTCACTAAATAAAGCTGGAGGGAAAGATGGTAAAAAGATACTCATATAAGCCTTAAGGATAACCCAGTATGACAGGATACAAAGCTTTCACAGAGTGATGTTTATTCTGTTAGGCATTTTCTTAGCACTGCGGGTCTGGTTGTTGCTCAGTTCTCTGCAGAGTCTCTAAGTGAGATGTCTGTCGGCCGTCACCTGGGGACTATCTGACATGCGCTGCCGGGAGATGCTAAGACGGGAAAGTGGAAATCGAGTCCCTGCAGTCTGTGGGGGTGATGGAGCCAGGGCCATGACCTTCCAAATGTGCTGTGACACGCAGAAAGGAGGCAGAGACACATGAGAGGGGCGTGCTTCAGGGGGCAAGGCCCACTGGGTCCTGCTGTGTCAGACTCTGGTCAGGATCAGTCCTGGGCATGGGAAGGTCAACGCTCAACTTCTCTACTTGCATGTGGTCCACAGGATTTAACTTAAAAAGACTTACGTGCACTGGGCAAGGCAGGCCAGCTTCCTTGGTCCAGAGCCAGCCCCTGGGATCAACCATACGTCACTCTTGACTGAGTCACTTCCCCACGGTGATGAGCATTTACCCCTCTAGAGGAGTTCCTGATGTTTGGAGCAGTTTCTAGGTGCCAGACACTGTGCTGAGACTTTGACATGGAGTATCTCATTTAGTTTCTAAGTCTAGAAAGATTGCCATCTACCTCCTTATTTTGATTTTGCTCCAGTGCTCAGGTTCTGCCAACTGACTTGCTCGAGGCACCCATAAGAGGTGATGGCAGGATTCTAACCCAGACAGCACAGTTCCAGGGCTCATGATGGCAGCTGTTGCTTGAGTCGTGGATGTATTTGCTTGGCCCTTCAATGCATCTCTGTCTGGTTACTCGGAAGTTTGGCCTCTGTCCTGGCCCCATAGATGGCGAACCATCACAAGACGCCTACCTTCACCTTATGCTTCATTCTCCCTGCCATGCCATCAGGAACGAGGCTGATTCTTGGAAGGTTCATGGTGTGTCCAAGTACTTGGAGAGTGCGTAACTGGGGGATCACTGGGGAATTTCCTCTGGGGATAAAGTTGGCTGTAGTTCTATTTTCATTGGACTCCACTGAAAGAACTATGGTTACAAAGTGTAAAGGACCCACAGCTGGTATAAAACTTACATTTCCCGGAATGCCCCCACCTCTGTCCTCCCTCCCTTACCCCCAGCAAGAGGTTACAGGTTTTTTCCTTGCTTCCAGGTGATTCTGAGAGGAAGAGCCACTCCAGTATGTTGCACCAGCTTGCAACATTGTTTGCTACTGTAACACAAATTTAGATCCTTTAGTGCAAACCTTTCAAATCAAGACATCTTCTCCACCTCCTTGATTTCAGGGATAGCCATATATTTGAGGCCCAGTGGGACCCAATTTTAATAGGTGCATGATGTAAATAAGAAAAGAGTTTGTTCATTAAGGCCTGTGCATGCCTGTGTGTGTTGGCTGATGAATGAGGTGACTGAGAGAGATTAGAAAATTGGAGATGTTTGCCTGCTGTGAGCAGTCTAGCCATGGATGACAAACATTCATGGAGGCGTAAATGCCCTTTGCCCTGGAAATTCTCCTTTGGAGGAACATGATAGGAAAATAGGTTTGTTAATGTCTCAAGGAATAAAACTGGCCTAATTTTTCTGTTTTTCAGCACCGGAGATGTTCAGCTCCAGAAAAGAAGCAGGCTATTCCTTTGCTGTTGATTGGTGGTCCCTGGGAGTGACAGCATATGAGCTGCTGAGAGGCCGGGTATGGTAGAGTTGCCTTTCCTCTTGGTTGTTCTTCCAGCAAGTCCTGTTGGAGAGTAAAGGAATGTGTTGTTTGCTGAGAACCAAGCAGCTCACTCGAAAGCAGAAAGCAACTTTACCATCTGATAGTGCTCAGACCTTCAATACCGGACGGAGGCGTGATTTCTCTCCAGCTGTGAGCCTTGAGATTTCTGCACAGATTAATTCTCTGTCCCACATAGGGAGCCAACCATGTCAGTTGGCATTAAATTACATAGATAAAACTAAATGAATAATACGGATATTGTAAACTCCCAAGGAGGAGAAATCAATACACCTCACTAAATATTTTGTGAGTTTAAAGAAAGTCATTTTGCACAGTATAGGTAGGACCTTAATTCAGACACACTTCACTAAGGCTAGTGTTTTTGTTGTTGTTGTTTGGTTTTTTTTTTTTTTTTTTTTTGAGTTTGGTATCAGTCTGTCACACAGGCTGGAGTGCAATGGCATGATTGCAGCTCACCACAGCCTTGACCTCCTGGTCTCAGGAAATCCTCCTGCTTGGCCAGCTGAATAACTGGGACTATCGGCACATGCCACCACACCCGGCTAATTTTTTTTTTTTTTTGTAGAGACAAAGTCTTGCTATGTTGCCTAGGCTGGCCTCAAATTCCTGGGCACAAGCAATCGTCTCATCTCAGCCTTCCAAAGTGCTAGGATTACAGGCATGAGCCACTGCGCCTGACTAGTGTGAATTATTAATACAACAATAATTCATGCCCTGTCATGTTGAATTTCATCATTTGGCCCCTGAGTTCTGGGTTCAGTGACAAACTAGAGTTATTTCTTTTTAAAGGAAACATCTCTTAAACTAAGAAACTTTTCTGAAAAAAAAAAAGAGATGAAAAGAAAATAAATATACTGAAACATATTTCATACAATTTTTATAAACTATTGCATTATATAAAATTATTCCCCTAAGATTGTGTCTTACTCAGCTCTGCCTATCATAACAAAATATTGTAGACTGGATGACTTAAACAGCAGGCATATATTTTCTTACTTATGGAGGCTGGAAGTTGGAGATCAGGTGTCAGCATAATGGAGTTCTGTGGAGGGCTGTCTTCCTAGCTTGCACATAGCAGCCTTTTGTGCTGTGTCTTCACATGAAGAAGAGGAGGAGAGAGAAATTAGATCTCTCTCCTCCTCTTCTCATATTCTCTTCTCTAATTCTATCATGAAGGCTCTACCACCATAATCTAATCCTAATTACCAGCCAAAGGTGCCATAAATACCATCACATTGAGGGTTAGGACTTTAACATATGAATTCTGGGTGGGCACAAACATTTGGTCCATAACATTCCACCCTCAGTCCCCTCCTAAAAAATTTATGTCCCAGTCGGGCATGGTGGCTCAAGCCTGCAATCCCAGCACTTTGGGAGGCTGAGGCAAGAGGATTGCCTGAGACCTCCTCTCTGCAATATATTAAAAAATTAGCTGGGCATGGTGGTACACGTCTGTAGTTCTGGTTACTTGAAAGTCTGAGGCGGAAGGATTGCCTGAGCCCAGTGGGTCAACGCCTGGCCGTGAGTGGGCCACTGCACTCTAGTCTGGGTGACAGAATGAGACTCCGACTAAAAAAAAAAAAAAAAAATTGTGTCCTTCTTGCATGTACAGTATGTTCATGCTATTCCAGTAGCCCTGAAGTCTTAACTTATCCCAACATCAGCTCTAGTCTGAAATCCAAAATCTCATCTAAACATCATGTAATAGGGAATGGGTAAGACTCGAAGTATGATTTATCCTAATACGTAATTTCTCTTCAACTGTGAACCTATTAACATAAAATCAGACGAGTTATGTACTTCCGAAATATAATGGTGACATAGGCATAGGATGAACAATCCCGGTTCAGAGGAGAGAAATAGAAATGAAGCAAGTTCAAAACATAGCGGACAAATTAAATTACATCTTAAGACTTGATAATAATGCTCTTTGGTTTGATGGTCTGCCATCCAAGTCAATCCAAATCACTGTCACAAGGATGTCACAAGGGGGACTGGTTTAAGTGGCTGTCTATAAGGGCTTCTCCACTTGCTTCTCTGTGGGGGCTCCATCCATGCACATCTGTTGGGTGGTGGTCCTGCCCTTTGAAATTGAGGTGGAGGTAGGCCTGCCCCTTAGCCAGTGCACTTTGGACCTGCAGGGAAATGACAGTCCTGAAGATCTCTGGATTGCCCTCAGGGTGCTTCTTCCCTTTACCCGAAGCATAGCACATGCTTATGGTCCTGTCCTGCGAAACCCAGGAAGTCTGACAGCCTTCCTTATTCCATCCAACCTTCTCTGTCCCCTTTAATTCTGACTGGTGGTCTCTCTGCTAGCATAATTGCCTCCTTATTTCTGGCTTCTGCTGAGATGGCTGGTTAAGGCCATGGGTCATACCAGTGATCTCTTAATCAGTTGGTTGCTCAGCCACACCCTCGTGTTCTCTTTAGAACACACTTTCTCATTTTTTGTGATTTGAATGGAAATGCCGAATTTCCATACTTCCATATTTCTGTATTTCCACATGCACCTGAAACTTCCAGTTTGCTCTCTGTAAGCAGTTTTAACATTGCCTACACGTTTCTAGATGTTTGTTACGGCAGCACCCCACTCCTCAGTACCAAAATCTTAGTCTGCTAGAGTTGCCTAAGACTGAATACTAGACTGAGTGACTTTAACAACAGAAGTTTATTTTCTCAGTCATGGAGGCTGGACATCTGAGATCAGGGCCATCACGGCCAGGTTCTGTGGAAGGTTATCTTCCTGACTTGCAGATGGCTTCCTTCCCACTGTGTCTTTCCATGATGGGCAAAGAGGCATCTCTCTCTCTTTTTATTCTTACAAGGCCACTAATCCCATCATGAGGGCCCCACCCACCATCAGGACCTAATCTAACCCTAGTTACCTCCCAAAGGCTTCATCTTCAAATGCCATCACATTGAGGGTTAGGGCTTCCACTTATGAATGCTGGGTGGGGACACAAGTATTCAGTCCATAACATGTTGTATACTCGGAGGGTCCCAGTGTTAGATGCAGTCAGTGATTTTTCCAAGGCCAGGGAGTTGAAGACATGACTTTAGGATCTTGTTTCTCCCACAGGGCTAAAGAATTGAGTCTCAAGTCAACAGGCAGATACACAGTGCAACCCCCTGACGTTTTAGAATCATTCTTTCCGCATGTGTCAAGAACATCTCCTTTGGTCCCACATAACTCCACCATATTTCTTCATTAAAAGTGTCATCTCACAAGTAACTGGCTTGTTCACAAATGAGAAAAACTGTTAGATAGAAGTTGGGGCTATTTCATCATGGTCCCATGGCTCCATCTCAGGAAATCAAAGATGAGTGATTCTAAAGCAATTGAAGGATCTCACAATTGTATCTGTTTCATTTATCCTATAGAGTTCATTTCACACCTAAACATTCATTAGTTCGGTGTTTGTACTTCCCCTTCCCTGAGGAGATCATCATAACACTATTCTCTAAATATATTCAAATATGGGTGAATTATTCAAATTAATAGGAGAGGACCTCCCTTGTCAACCAAACATGTAGATTCCTCTTAGGCAGCATCAGGTGTTACCTTTTCCATCTTCTGATGGGCTCTCTTCCATTTTCTAAAGAAATCTAGCAAGGTTGGAGGATTCCTTGGGCCTAGGAGTTCAAGACCAGCCCAGGCAAATAGCAAGAACTTGTCTCTCCAAAATGCAAAAAAGTAGCTAGGAGTTTGTCACACACCTATAGTCCCAGTTACTCGGGAGGCTGAGGTGGGAGGATCACCTGAGCCCAGGAAGTCAAGGTTGCGATGAAATGTGATCATGCCTTTGCACTCTAGCCTGGGTGACAGAGTAAGGCCCCAACTCAAAATTTTTTTTTTTTAAAAGAAATCCAGTCAAAAAGTGGCTAAGCTACTAATGATTATACAGGAAAACAGGGAAGAGCATCACACCATTTACTTGAGAGTAGAAACATCTCTGTTCTTTCCCTTCTCATCCTTAATGTCCTCTCATGAGCCAACTCTCTCACCACCCCTTGTCAGTCCCTTCTGTGGTTTAGAGCAGTAGTGCTCTACCCTAGTCTTTTATAAGACATTTTAGCAAAACATAAGCTGAGTAGTGACTTGAGAAACAGAATGACTGCCTAGTATTCTTCAAACATGCCTAGGATTGTGTATTGCCTATGTAAAGAAATATTCTTACATGTCTGGAAAGGATTTTGCTAAAAAATACTTTCTCTTTCTCCTATATCATTTTACTTCTATGGTAGTTCCCTGTGATCTGATGTAACAACATAGAAAAATGCATTTTTCTAAAGCAAAGAGCTGACTTTTCCTGTTAAGAAAAAAAAAAAATGCTGTTGCTCCCCAGTGCTTCACACACACATGCCCTTCACATGCCTTAACCTCCCGCCCCAGCACACATAGTCTTCAGACGCCATAACTTGGCATTCTTTGAAGAGCAAAGCGTTTCAGGTTTTGCTTCCATAATTCTGGCCCTTCATGAACTCACTTCTGCCTCTTTGAACTTCTTTTCTTCTCAAAGCATCCCTTGGGTTTTTTTTGCTTTAGCCTCTTATTTATTTGTCTATAAATATATTTCCCAAGATAAATGCTGGTCTTCATAAAATTACTTTTCGTAAGTTTTGGAATTGCTAAATCAGGTTTGAATAAAGGATGTGTCTTATTTGCAGGACTTTCTAGAATCTTTATATCCAGTGTATTTTGGTCGTTTCTAAGAAAGAACACACTACTAAACTATCCCAATTTGGGGGGTGTCTCTCCAGGTCTCTTCATATTCAGATTCTACCTGTACTTTATGGCCTACAACAAAATGGCACCTCCTCTAAAGAAATGTCCTCTGATCTCTCCAGCTAAAGTGATCTGTGTCTCTTCTAAACACTTACATATTCTACCTCTTTTATGAACCTTCTGATTTTAAACTTACCTGAAACTGTAGAAAACCACAAAAAATGACCAATCAGGTACAAGGTACACAGGTGAGGGTGGTGGCTACACTTAAAGCTCAGACTTCTTCACCACCATACAACACATCCATGGAACCAAAAACTATTCACACCCTCTGCAAAACTATTGAAATAAGAAGAAAAAAAAGAAAACCACAAAAATGAAAGTCAAAATCAACTATCGTCCCTAAGGCAAAGAAAATTCCCAATTAATAAAACTCTTTTTGACCTTCAGACCCCACCTTTGAGAATTCACCATTTGTTGTGTTCACTTCCAAATCACTTCTGTTCTTGTAAGGATAATCCATTTTCAGATGGAAAGATATGGATAAATAGATTTATTGTTTTATGAAAAATAGAATTATGTGTACCTTTTGGTTGAGACTTTTTCCTTTATCTCATAAGGTAAAATGTACCTAGGTGTTCCTCGATCAGAATACCTAAATCTATTTTTTTTTTAGGATTATCCATTTTGCAAATATATTGCCATTATAAATTTAACCAGGTATATCTATGTTTGGCTTATTGTTTCTATATGACTAGATTAACTCATTAAAGGTAAAGCAAGAAGTTTATATAGTTTAGCAGTGTTTACAGTATTAAACTTTAATAGGGATATAATAAATGTATGTTGTCTTACTGGAGGGACAAATCTCTATAAATCCATTTTGATGCATTCTAGGAAAGAATCACCAATAGGCTATATGCAATTATGTTTCAAAATATAATCTGAAGAAAATGAAATACTATTTCATCACAAGTATCAGCACAACTAAACCACAGAAGAAGGGTGCCATACTATAATTTTTCCCATATTTACAGGTTCTTGTCTACAGAAAAAAAAATATGCCTTAAAAAGATAATGTGCTTGAAAAACACCATCATGGTTTCTGAGTTTGATTTTGGTTTAGAGTTCTGCTTGTTGCTTCCTTGTCTCCCAGCTGTCTCGTTGCCACTGCAAAGGCCCAGGGCCGTGTCTTTTGTAGTTTTGTATTACCCATCAGTAATTAAGTTATGATGGGTACATACATAGTTTGTATGTCCTTACTGTAATCTTTGACTTTGTATTTCTGAAATATGACTATAATCACAGCACATCATTTGTTTTCATCTAACGTTTTCCTTTTAAACCTAATCCATTCTTTATATCCTCAGTCTTAGTTTATATGCTACCTTAGACTTGTCTGATATATACTGTCATTGAACACTGTCATTTTTTCCTTATAGCATGTATTCCATTCACATAAACATGTGTGTGTCTTTCTGTGTGTACAATCTATATAGCAGTGCACATGTTTCCTTCAGTAGACTCTAGACTTCACAATATAGAAGTCAGATCTGCCTTGTTTTTTGTTGTACTCCCAGCACCCAACAGATGTGCTGGAACATAATAGGCATTCAATAATATTTGATAAATGTGCAATTATGGTAGTGGATGAATTAAAGTGATTTTTAAAATTTAGAATGAAAAATAAGATAATGAATAAGATAAAGACATTCTGATTATTTTTAATATATTGGCAGGCCATGGAGATTTTTTAAAAATTAAGCTTAATCTTGTGCCCTTCTAAAGTAAGTGAAAAACATATGTGCTTAAACCAGTTGCTTGTGGCATTCATCAGTTAATTCATTCAAGTTTATCAAATCATTTTTTTTTCTGGATGGCCAAGAGACAGGAGGTTTAGAAGCAGCAATTAATTAAAATAAAGAGGAAACAGGGCAACCCGCTCGGGTTCTCTCCCACTGTAGGAGCTTTTCTGTCTTCTCAATAAATCTTACTTTCTAAAACAAGATAAAATAAAGAGGAAACATAGGTAAAAAACATGTGCATACACATGTAACCCTAGAAACTTGAGTATACTAAGTCTAACCCTATTCTTAGTAGTATACATGGACTGAATAATATGAAGGAACCTATCATGCCCTGTGGCTGGTGGACTGTCAACATGGATCATTGTGATAAAGCACCTAGCATGCCTTTTTTGATACTAGGTTATTTCTACTATATCATTAACAAGACTAATGATTTTGCTATGACCCTTTGTTTAGACTCTAGAGAGGAAAAAAATGTGGCAGTTGATTTTAGACCTTACTTAAAATGAATAAAAAGTCTGGGTGGCTCACATCTGTAATCCCAGTGCTTTGGTGGAAGGATCATTTGAGCCCAGGAGTTCAAGACCATCCTGGGCAACATAGCGAGATCTTGTCTCGGCAAAAAAAAAAAATGGGTAAAAACAAAATTAAAAAATTAGCCAGGCATGATGGCGAATGCCTGTAGTCCTAGCTACTTGAGAGGCTGAGAAGGAAGGATTGTCTGAGCCCAGTCAAGACTGTGGTGAGCCATGATTGTGCCACTAAACTCTAGCCTGGCACAGAGTGAAACCCCAACTCAAAAATAAAAATAGAAGTTTGACCTAATCTCCCTTTCAAGGGCCACCTTCTGTCATTCTTCAGTTCCCTGAATAACTGACACCGACTTCCCTTGTGTAGAGTGGAGCCTTCTGTCACTTAGTCTTCCCTGAGGACTCTTGCTGTTCACTGTGTTTTCACATGTCGATCTGCCCTTTTCTACCCTTGGGTCAGTAACAATAAAAATGTCTCTTCTGTATCATATCTGCTACAAGTTAGCCACTCCATTGAGAACTTTACATGGATTGTCTCCTTTAATTTTTCCAACAATCTCAGATGGTGTTCATTTTCTAGAAGAAGTAGCTTCATCTCACAAATGAAGTAACATGCTCAGAAATTGAGTGGCCTGGCTTAGCACCCAAATCCTTTTGTATTCAGAGCTCAAACACTTGATTATGTTACATTACCTCTTAATACTAATTTACTACAGGGAAAGACTTGAACCTTCTCACTTCCCTCAATTTAGAGCATCAGTTAACAATCATTTGTTAAACGACTGGAAAGGGTCAAGCATGTGCGACATGCATATCCATATTTACTGCTCTATGGTGAGTTAATCTAATGTGGAAAGTGTGTTCATTCAGTCACCATGTATTGAACACCCATGTGCTAGGCTCCATGAACAAGAATGTGACTTTAAGTAGATTACAGTTCACAGAAATGACATGAAATTTCAGTGCTGGTGAGGCCCGTATGAAATAAATTAATATCAATAACAGCTTTTCTCTGATATTCTGTGAAAACTGTAACAAATCCATGGTTTTATTTTGCTTCACTTATTTTTCTCCAGTTTAAAACTGTACAAGAACCTGATTCTTCTAGAAAGTATTTTTTTTTTTTTAGTATATATATATTTTTGATTTGGAGTCTCACTCTGTTGCGCAGGCTGGAGGGCGGT